CCTAAGAGGTCACATTATCTTTAATTTCATTTCATGGGAAACTGTCATCAATTTTTGTGGTGTGTGCTCTTTGCCTAGCTTTCACTTCCACCTCCCTTTCGGTTTTGTGCTTATGATATCTTTGCAGAAGCCCCATGGTGGTGGCTCTTTGTTATGTACTAATCTTTAAATGAATAATGGGGTGGGGGGGTATGTGTGATTATCTAAATAAGGGTTCTGTAAACTGTTGTCTGCAAGCCAAATCTGGGCTACCACCTGCTTTTTTAAATAAATAAAATTTCATTTACTGTTCTAAGTAAAGTTTTATTGGAACATAGCCACACATATGTTGTCATGACTGCTTTTGGGCCACAGTGGCAGATTTGAAGAGCTGTAACAGAGACTGTATGATATGGAAAACCTTATATATTTACTATCTGGGTGTTTCCTGAAAAAATGTACCAGCTCCTGACCTAAGGAATGTGCCTAATTCCACTTGCTGGTTAATACTGATAAAAGACTCCAGGTTTGGTACTAAGTAAAATGTTAATATGCAGCTTTTTCTCAGGTAGAAGTTTTAAGTGATTTCTCTCCAATGGAAAAGACAACCATAGAGGATACAGTTTATGGTCTAGTTTTGTCTCTGACCAGTTTTGTTTCTGACCTTAAAAACCTACCCTAACACTGCCAATAAGCACCTAATTTCTCAAATGCTTCTTACACTGGTTTTAACATCATACTGGTTCCCTCATAAATTAAAGAGTTAAAAAAATCTGCACTTATTTTGTATACACAAGAGTCATAATTTTGTCTTTCATAAAATTATATTTTAACAAGTAAGAGGTAGGAATCTGGCTTTCCATATTTTTTTTCCTATTGCTAGACATTTGTTTCCAAAACATTTGTAAAATAATCCATCATTCTCTCCACCCATCTAATTTCAAACCTTTTCTTTGTCATGTATGCAAATTGAGAAAGTAGAGAATACAATTTGTGTATTGGGAATAAATTTCAAAGGCCTCAGAGCTTTTTCCACAGCCGTGTGGAAAAGTAATGTATTATTTTTCTATAACTCAACTAAATCTCTTCTGGATCCCCACTTCTGCTTGTCGACAGAACACAAAAGAAATAGACCACTCTAGTTAAACTCGGCCACTTCAAATTTTCTCAGTCTTTCAGATTTAAACTCACTGAATACTGAAACGTTCTCCAGGTTGACTTGCAACTTCCTGGGAGTTTTGGAGCAAAGATGCATACTAGGGAGATCCTCTGGCCCAGATTAGCCCCAGCTGAAGGCAGGGCAGCCCCACTGGGCTTCACAGTCATTCCTAACACTGGGATGCTTCCAGGACATGGTCACAATATCATGTCTCCTTAATTCTGACAGCAGGCTTCTTCAGGTCCCAGCCTTCTCTCTATTAACTTTGGTGAGAGAATGGGGGAAAACCGTATCTGCCTCTCCTGCACTTCTGGGGCTTTAGGAAAACTGGGATGCACTCACTACCCCTTACCTCTGCCAACACTGCTAGGTCTCATCTTCTCTGTAGTGGAGTCTGGGGAACCAACGTTCAACTTCCCCCACCTGGACTGCCACTCCCACCACTGTATGGCATTTGAGTCTTGGGGGTGATGTTAGGAAGACTGGCTACAATGGTGTATTCTCTTCCCTTATTCTGGGCAATTTAAGATTTGGCTATTCTAAGACTTCATCTGTTCTCTTTCTAAATCTATTACTTTGCTCATAGTTTTAGCCTCTGATTTCTTCAAGCCTTTAGGAAATCCTGGTTCTTACTGATGGAAAGTTTGGGTTTGTAAGAATAATTACACTTCTATAAATTTTAAAAGCCCAGAATTAAATATTTGCTTCTATATTCTGTGTCCTCCCTCCCCTGAAGCAGAACTCCAGGCTAACCCGAGACTTGGGGAGGGAGTCAGGAGGGGGCTTCCTTTCACACCTTGATATGAATCCTCTTTTCTGTCATTTTTGCTTTATGTTATGTTGATAATTACTGGTTGTAACAAATCTAAAACTGAAACTAGTACTCTGCACAGGAAAAAGCTCTTTGCTGTTATAGAGGTATCAAAGGTGATGGAGATCGCTAGGAAGCATTCTGCTAGCAATAGGCTTGCTGATAATAACAAGGAAGAAAAGGTCATAGGTAAAAAAGGAAAGCTATAATTGAATGCTGGATTTGTTGGTGATGCTGAAATCTTGCATCCATTCCTTTATAATTATTAACACATCTCTATTATTGAAATGCTTTCAGTAACGATGACTTTGTCAAGTTTGAAATTCTTATAACACACCTTTTTCCTCCTCAGAAATAATTCTCTCAACCATACAAGAGAACAGTCTTGAGTAGCTTCTCACAGGTGTTGGGGTCTTTTGGAATCCATTCTGTTCAGCTGTTTTCTTACAAGGCTATTAGTCTCCCATTTTGTAATGCTTTTTAACAGCTTCACAGGCAAAATCTCACCTATTGCTCATCATTGTTGCCTTTTAACAAACTGTATGACTCTTTGTACATGTTTACTTTACATATGAACTTTCAGGAATTAAAAATCACATCGTCAAGTTCCAGTTTTGTTTTCTTAGCCTTGAAAAGATAAAAACCTATCTAGGTCTGCTTATTTGATTCAATATGTCAATCAAATCAAATCAAATTGTGTTTATGGATCTCGTTTGGGTCTCCTCTCTAATAGTCATTCATATCCCTTGTTAAATCTAGATGACAAAGGATTTTACTATCAATCTGTCATTCAGTATTCTGAGCTGGGGGAAGAAGGAAAGTCCAGCCAAAGAACATTTCACAGTTTTCTGTCTGTTGATTCTACTGTGCCAGCAACAAATTTTGGTGCCTATTCAATCTGGCTTTGCTTTGGTGAGAACTGTGTCAAAGGTAAGCATAGAGCTGATGGATTTCTGCATGTGATGCCCAACTTCTCCACCACCTTTCCTGACAGCAGCCTTGGCAAAGAAGTCTTCGCAGCTTTACAACACATCCCCACACTTGCCCCTCAGGACTGGAGGAGTTCATCCTCACTTTGAGGTGGCAGGGTGGGAAGAGAGAAGACATGATTTGTAGCCCAGCATTTTCTGCTCCAGCCCCACTGATATATAGTATCTAGCAGTGATAACAACAACAACAACAAAAAAGCTCTTTAACTTTCAGTAATATGCCCATAACTCTATTGCTTGTACCATCTACCTAGATGATGTTTTTTGACAATCCCCCACTATTTTATACGATGAATGTATTATAGTCCCTACTCTCCGGCCCTGCCCCCACCTTTAATATGAGTTTACATAATCTGCACTTTTTAATTTGATTTACCAAAGAACTAGGCCTCAAGAGCTAGATTAGCAAGAATAAGCACCCTTGGTTGGTTAAATTACTTTTATGTCCTGTTTACAACTGAACTAACCAACAATAAGTTTGTGCTTATCCAGATTCCAGCCTACCCTGCAGCCACTTGCTCTTTCAGAGAACTGGGAGTGCCTCAGGGTGATCCTGGCAGCAGAAGCCTCAACCCCTGTTCCTTGTTGCCTTTGTCTAGTGGGGTCTTCCTGGCAGCCTGCCAGGCACCAATGAGCACCTTGGGCCCTTCCCACTCCTTTCAGGGGCTTTAGAGTCAAGTGATGGGAGTGACTCTGGGAAATTACTCTGCTTTTGAAGCCTTATTTCCTCATCTATAAAATTAGGGTAATACTAATACCTTCCTCATAAGGTGAGGAATAAAGGAACTCAAATGCTTCTCAGAGGGCCTGGAGCATTCCATAATTTATGGGATATTGGTGTGAGTGTGTGTGTGTGTGTGTGTGTGTGTGTGTGTGTCCATCCTCCCAAAGGCCAGCTGAGTTTTGCACAATTGCAGGATACTTACAAGGCTATTGTTTGTGTAAACCATACCCACCCAGAATAATCCCAAGCTTTGGTAAAATCTGGGGAAACACTCTTAAACATTTTCAACATGCATAGATGTTTTTAAAATATAAATGCTGTGAGTTTTATAATACTTATTAAATCAGTAAAATTTATCCTCAAGTTCTTATTCTTTGAGGAAAACAGACCTAAAGGCAAAGATAATAATCTTTTCTAAGTACAGGAAAATATCATTCTCTAAGGTATTAAAACAGTTCTTAATTGCTATATAATTCCTGGTCTTTGAAGAGAATTCTCAGCAAAGACATAAATTGCTGCCAAGGGTTCAGACATTTAACTTTCAAGAACTTAGATTGATGAGATCATTATTTTCAATATTGTTGTATAATTTTTCCAGCAGGTTTCTCCCAAAGAGCCAAAGGGCTGAACAGAACCTAAAAGCTGGCCACAAATCACCAAGGTGCAGCAAGCTATAGGCCCTATGCTCCATGATGCTTCCCTCAGAGTACCAGGAGCCCTGGTGAGGTGGGAAGGTACCTCCTCCACTTATTCATGCTGCTCTGTGCCAGTATCCACAGATCCAGAGAAGCAGGGAAAGAGCCTGGAAATCCCAGCAAGACCAGTATGCAGCAGAGAACAGCCCAGCTAAGGCTGCTCACCGGGAGGCTCAAATTCAATTTGGCTCCAAGAGCTAAGGGCACAGCTTCTCCAGTCATTTGCTTGCTTGCCCTGAGGGACATTGTTTCAGCTGCAATCCACTCCCAGGAGTATAGAGGACCTTCTACCTAATGGGCAAATAAAGTGGGAGGCTGGCACTTTAGCTTCTCTTTTAACTGAGCTGTTGAGACTGGGCAAACCATTTAGCCCTTTAGCTCCTTCATTTGCAAATGCACAGGGCTGGATAGATGTTGAGGGTCCCTGCCAGCTGACAGTCTATGTTTCTAAGGTGAGAACAAGACAAGAATGAAAATACACCTGAAGGAAACACATTTCCATTTAGAAAACGTCACCTCTTGTCCTTAGAAGACTCAGGAAGAGAGTTGTTCCCGTCACAGTTGCAAAAGTTTAATTACAGATAAACTCAACATCATCCCATTTATAGTCCTTGATTTATATGAAAAATAAAAGATAACTTACTGGTGATTCAATGTCCTCTAGGAGTAAAACAGAACAGCGTTCACATTTCAACAGAGTTTGGGCCCGGTGCATTATTTTCTTGACAATTTTCTCCAGGTCAGTCTGTTCTTCAAAGAGGTCATTTACCACCTCTAGCAAAGCCTGGTAAGGAGATGGATGTATTTAGGCGATGAAAAAGTTGGTGTTTTTTTCCCCTCAAAATTCTAATTAGTCTTTTGCTCTAATAACACAAAGGATTTTGTGTGGCTGATTTTTAAAGCATTTATGATTGTTTAACATAGTTCCATCATTTCATTTTATAACACTCTGAAACTGCACAATACACCTGGAGAATGGAGTCCATCCATATACTGGGGACCACGTAATAGTCATTAGTTATAGGATTTTTTTTCCCTCCATGACTATAGTTTTTCCACAATGTTGACTAATTACAAATTCAACTTTTTAAAAATAACAAGTACTTAATTCTCTGAAAAGGACATTTATTTCAGAAAACCACAAAATATCTCTTCTTCACTATCAGGAAAACACAGCTTCATGATCAAAGTTCAGACTTATTATTGCTAATATTGTACTTATTATTACACATCGCTCACAGAATTCTGTAATTATAGATGTGAATGCTCAATATAGATCAGAGACTTTAGAAATATAACTAAAAACCGCAACTAATACTTCTACACAAATAGAGGAAATGCTACCAAACCATCACTGTGCAAGAGAACATTAAGATACATCTATATATCTCAGGAAAGAAAATGTCTTTAAAGTTCTGTTGAAATAGCAGAATGAAAAGCACACTAATTAAAGAAAAGGCTTAAAATTCTAAGTTTAGCTCATTTAAAATTAAACTGTCACTTTTCTGGCTAAGTAAGCTTGAAAATTATGCTGAAATAATATTTGTTTGGAATTTTTAAAGACATGGGTATCTTCAGAAGTTTCAGAATAGTGGGCTATGTACAAGTTGCAGATATTATGCTTCTATCAGAGCAATCAGAGAATTACACAGCCAGGGAATTGCACCAGAGGATGCTTTATTCAGCAGAATTTATTAAGCTATGCCATCTTGGAGCTGACCTCTCCCAAAAGAATTTCATGAACCTTCAAATTCACATCTATTCAGCATGGTGTTGATCATTATCCCAGGGGCATGACTAATTTTCAGCTCTAGTAATGAATTTGATTTGTCCTGAAACCCTTTGAAACTTATAAAAAATTTTTTCTCTGAATCTATTCAGGTAGAAAAGCATTTGAATGGGTTAAGGGATCCATGAAATGAATCAAGTTTACTGAGCAACTGAAAGAGGACGAAAGTTCCCTGGGTAGCATTCCCTCCAAGAAAGACTGGCTAAGTGACATATTGCTCTGTGATCCCAAAGCAAAGAGAAACACCAGGAGGTAAAAACAGTTTTAAGCGAAGCTTTACTCTTTTGGCATTTGGACAGCAAATTGCTGGAAGAGGTCAATGCTCAAAAGCTTCATACTCAAACACAACATTAACAACGAGACAATTTGTCTGACTAATTACAGGCAAAATTCCCTGTTAGTAAGGGGGGAAACATTATTGCCTTAATCATCCAGATTATTTCTTCACATGGATCATATTAACTGAACAATTATTTAACTTTTCATTTGTTTTGACTGCGTGGAGAGAGCCTCTGGGACCTGTATACAAGAACATTTATCTCGGAGGAAAAACAAATGAGTCTTGAGTCTTGCACTGACAAATCACATTGTAGTAATTTTATTGTTTCTAATTAAAAATTGCTGCTTTATTATCAAATGATGAAAGTTTTGCAAATACCAATGCAGATTAGCTCCAGAATAGGAGAGAAAGAAAATCTAGAAAGCTATGCAGCTCACCTGGCACTGAAAGCATTTCACACACTTTAGTACTTACTCTGCTTCTTAGTGTCACTTCCTTCTAGGAAAAAAGTGTTTGCACTTCCCCCCTCTGTCTTCTGGTGACCTAATTTCGTTCCTGTGTTCATCCTTGAATCTCTACCCTTCTCTTACCCACACATTCCTTCTCAGATTAACCCAACTAGTCTATCTCTTTATTTCATAGTATTTCTCTTTATAGTGCTTTATTGCTACCTGATGTTATAGTATTCTTATTTTTTTGCCTATTATTCCTGCTGGCATAGTAAGTTCTCTGAGAACTTGGATGTACAGTGTCTGAAAGAGTACCATACAATATTTGTTAAATGAGTAAATGAATTGTGTAATGCACAAGGAGGAAAAGACTAATAATACATAAAATTTCCCTTAAGGAGTTCAAAATACATTTGGTGAGAAGGGCTATGGATAACTATAAAAATATAGTTGTTACCCACAGAAGAACAATAGTGGTATATGCAAGGAGAAATAGTAAGTGAAGAAGGGGAGATTAACTGGAAGGTTGAGCTGGCTCCTTAAGGATATGGAAGGCTGGCGGCAGAAGGAGCAAAGGGTGCACACAAGGCTTCCAAGGCAGATGGGCAATGTGGTGAAAGGTGTTACAATGTGAAACAGATTGTTTTCTGGAATTCATTGACTGTATCTCTGGAGCACAAGATGAAAGGTAGTAAGACTTGGATCTAAAGTTGAAAAAAAGAATCAAATCAAAAAAAAAAAAAAGTGTGGTGTGCCATGCCAAGGATGATGGCTGTGTGGTCAACTGTGCCCCACTGCTTACTGTGACATATTCCTACATATTCATACCTCATAAATGAAATCTTTAATCAATTTGATTACAAGATTAAGGTGAGGTTTTCGAGTCCTTTTGAACATCTTGTTGTCAAATATATTTCTAAGTTGATTTAAATCAACTTAGATTTAAACATATGGAGTGAGCCTCATATGATTTAATCTCTACTTGATAATTGAGCATTTTTTGAGCATCAGTCTTTTTTTGTCCCAAGTATACCGAGATGCTTTTCCAGAAAACCTTTCAGTTCAAAACTAAATCTGGAAGGTGGATTCAAATCATGTTTGTTAATACACTGCACTCCTTAAAGGAACTAAATTGTTTTTTTAAAAAACCAACAAAACACCAAATTGTGTTATTGTTTCAAAGCCACAAGTAAGCAAGAATACATCAGCTGCCTTTGAGTATAGATGTGAAATGAAAATCCTTTTCAAAAGAAGCTAACACTCTTTCTCCCAACCAACAATGGAAAAGTCATGTCCACTTCCATTTGGGCTTATTGCTTAAAGGGAGCCTTCAGCCATAGCCCTGCAGGATAATACAAATGAAAAAGATTCCTGGACTATTCAAAAATCATCTGCTGTTTTTAAAAGACATAATGACTCAAAAACTGGAAAGACAGAAAGCTTTGAGGACTGTCAGCATGTTCTTGTACTCACCCTGCTTCTTTCGTATTCTTTCCTTGAGGCAGCAAAGAGCTGAGCATTAGATATGGCAATTCCACAAAAGGGAAGATACATCTGCATAACCTGGGGCAAAGAAAGCATTAAGAACATTAAAACACCCATCACTAAACTAAACTCCACTTTCCCTGCACATGCCTGATTGGAACACTTTACTTTCTACCATAGGGATTGAGTGATAGCAGTTAACTTCAGAAGGGATTTTTTTTCTGAATTAACTATAAAATAGTTAATAGTTTAACTGGGGAACTCACATCTTTGAAGACAGAAAGTGAACCAACAGCTTATGATACCTATCACAGAGAAAGTGTGTGTGTAAAACATACGTATTCCTACTTTGATGAAAGAAATATTCCTACTTTGATAAAAGAAAAATGAGTGAGTGAGTGGAGCTGGGATACAGCTGGAATTTTAAGGCCTGTACCCACCTCACTCTTGGAGGTAGGCAGGATAAAAACCAGTTCTTTTGTACATCTCTGTAGTAGGGATCTCATTTGACTTGTTAACAAGCTACTAGATTTAAACATGCCTGTTGGGATGAGCCCAGCAAGAAATTGAGTCTGAGGGCCTAGTGGCCTTCTACAAAAGAGCTCTATCATGTCCACTGCTAGGTGCCCCCAGCTGGACATAAATGCACACTGCAGAGCTGGGCTGAGGAGCCCATTGGAGAGAAGCCCTCCTATGGGAGGAAAGACACAGCTGGGCGGGGTCAGACCTGAATGAAGATGTACCACCTGGAACTTCCGCTCAAATTCACATCTAGAATATCTATTCCAGACAGATAGAGGTCTCCAGGTGAAAACTGAAGTGGCTATTTCCCTAAATTCTTCACAAGTGGAAGAAACAAGTGACATTTCTTAGGGACTTCTCTAATGTCAAAGGAAAACAGCATGTTCTATCATAGTCTGTTTCTCTCTCTGTCTGTCTCTGTCTGTCTGTCTGTCTGTCCCCTCCTCCCTTTCTCTCTCTGTCCTCTCGGGTTTCTCTCTCTATGCACATGCATTTATCACATGCTGTGACTCCCTATGAAAAGGAACAGAGCAACAGCAACACAGAACAGTTCCAAAACTTTCCAGTAGAGTTTAGCAGGTCACTCACACAGAAGCCAGTGGGAAACACCTCTGAGACATCTGGAGCAAAATTACCTCTAGTGAAAGGTGATTTTGCAGAAGATTCGAGATATATAAACGACGAAGATTAACACACATTCCCTGTCATTTCTTTCCTATTAAAATCTTGCTTTGGCTGACAGCATGTTCACTTCTGAGTGAGGAACCCTGAAAGAGTTTCAGAGCTCCATGGAAGCTAAAGATATGACCTCACTCTTTGAGAAAAGAGAGGAACAATGAGATTGGTACTAAAAAGAAGTAAAAATGAGATCAACGATCTGTTGTTGTTGCTGCTGCTGCACTGGGAATGAACCCAGGATGTGCTACCATTGAGCTACTTCCCCAGCCCATTTGATTTTTATTTTGAAAACAGGTCTTACAAGTTGCGGAGGCCGGACTTGAACTTGCCGTCCTCCTGCCTCAGACTCCCCAGTCACTAGGATTAAAGGCCTGTGCCACCACACCCAGCAAATGAATTCATTTTTGCAGATCTTTCAGGATAAATTTCTTCATTGAATTTCCATATTGTCTTCTGGAGCCAGATATTGTTTCTGTTTCCCCTTCTTCCTCTTCATGCCTCAGTTATTTTTCCATAAGCCAGGAAGGAGCTCTTGAGATAAAGCTGCCAGACAGACCCCTAGAATTTCCCTGCCTTTTGCCAGAAGAAAACTACTTTCAACATCACCTGCACACACCACACCGAAAGCACTTTCCTTGCAGTTCTCTGGTTTTGTTTTTTGTTTTCTTGCCCAGGAGACAGTGTCCATGATAGAGATAAAGGAGAGGAGGAAGTATGGATCACTTATTTTAACTTTCTACCATTTATTTAATTGTTTTATCTATTTATTTTTGTCTTCAGGGGATATAAGCCTAAGGTGGTTTATAAGTCAATCAAGTAGAAAGAAGAATGTGACCAAATGAACATGCAAAACAGGCTTAATTTACTTACTTTTTAATATGAATTGAGCTAAACCAGGCATTAGGAATAATTTTAAAAGAATTGGAATGTTAATTCTAAATCACATCATTTTTGTTCTTTTGATGACTTTTCTGTGTGAATTCAATAATTCACTTAGCCTCTCTCTGAACATATTTCCTTACCTGTAAAATACCAGGCTTTTGGTTCTTTTTATTCTAATATTCTGTGAGTCAAATAGTTAGAAACATCAATGAGCTGTAATATTCCATTTGATGGGAAAACTAAGAATCCAATAAACATACTTGTATCTTATTCAAGAAATAATCCTTTATAATAGTAATTGACATTGATCGTGTGGCAGGCATGATGGTCAGCATTTTATAGGTATTATATCCATTTGATATTCACAACGACCTACATTATACCACTAATTCTATTTTTAAAATGAGAAAGTTCGAGAAGGTTCGAGAGTTTGCACAAGTTTTCAGGAGATAATTCAACACAAGTCTCATGCTACCGCACATCTTGCAAACAGAAGCACTAGTTCTAACTTTCAAGAAGGTTTGTATAGTAAATAGTCTCAGAAGGCAGAGATATCATCTCCTTCCATAGCAAAGGGCAGAATTTTACTATCTAATACCATAAAGATAGTATCTCCCTCTAGGCATTGCTATTATTATGAGTAATAACCTCCCCTTTTTCACGATTTAGGAGTCTTTTCTCTTCTGCCTATATCCATGAGCAACGGCTGACGAAATTGTCGTCTTGCAAGTATAGTAAAATCTTAGACTTTTCAAAGTTCTTGGCAAGTTCCCTTATATAGTAAGCAATGGAGCTGAGTTTTGAACCCAATCACCCTGACCCCTGAATCTACCTTCTTAACTTCTGCATTATCCTGCCTCCCAAAATAGAATATATCTTCCATATCATTAGTGTGATGGCCCAGTTAACTGCATCATAACTAAATTCTTTGAGTGTATGAACAGCTATAAGAGACTGAAGATAGAAGAAATAGTTCTGGTAGAGCAGACATAGCCCAATTTTTAGAAGAACAAGTCCTCAGATTGTGGGTGATCTGTCTAGCAGTTGGTTTAAGGTAAATCCTAAACAGAGAGTAGACTACACTGATAGGCATCACAATGTGGTTATGGACACCAGAGTAGAATATTCCAATAGAAAAAAAAGCTGACTTTAGAAGATTCTGTCAGTGGGTAGCAGGGCCCCAGCTTCCTGGAGACTGTGGATCAGATTACACCCTTAGTGGTGGAAGAGAGGGAAAGAGCAGGAGAAAGGATGGGCGTTTGCTCAGGTGTTAAAGTGGGTCCTGTGGTGCGGCTCCAGCTACAGAGTGAAGACAGGGCCTGGGGGCCAGGTTGGGCTGTGTGCACTGCCAGAGAGCAGTCCTAGGCTCAATGGGAACACTTCAACATCCCTCAGAACCCGAGAACATCCAAGGTCACAATGTCAATTAATAACAAACTTCTTCCTCCTCATTTGTGTTTCTGTTAAGCATAGCTTTGGTCTAAAAATTCAGAATTTGTAAATGATTTTTCCAAATAGTACATGCTGTTTTCTTATGGCTGGTACTATGTACGATCAAGAAAGCATGTAGATAAGATTGACAGGAATAGTTCTTTAATCTACACAACTGTATTTAATGAAGGCCCCCATCTGCCCCAATTTAGTCCTGACAGATGAGTGGTACTGTCACAGCTTTAGGAAAAGCAACTCCATGTCTTTCTCCATTATAAATATCTAGCAAGTGTCACTTTCAGGAAATTTTCTCATATAAATCCCTCATATCTCAGTGTAATTCCCATTCTTATTCTTCAGTGGAGATAAAAGTGCTGCTCATTTAAACCAATTATGAAGCATTTAACATGACATTTTGAATGCAAAAGAGACACCTACTGTCTTATTTCGTGCACTCTAATTTATCAAGTTGATGCTTCCACAGAGCATCCAAACAAAAACAAATGGCACAACCAACACCCTGCTCACTGCAGGTGGAATGTACAGATCAGCTCAACTTAACAAGAGCTGCCTGATTGCCTTCTCTCATCACAAACTGGGTTAACAGTGTAGTATGTACAATAAACTACATGACATCATTTCAAGTGTGCCACTAGCTTTAACTATGTTCCTGAAATGATTCTTAACAAGATCATTCTCCTTCAATAGTTACGCAGAAAACAAAGGCCAAAATTTAAGTTTCATTGTGTAATTAATGACCTCCAAAGATTTGGCCCTCACTATATCTTCTAGTCTATATAGTCTATGCTTTAATGACACTGGAACATTTCCCCCAGTTCACTGTCAAATACTCTATATCCCATGATGTCTCTACCATCCGCATCACCTGGAATTCTTTGCCCTTCTACTCTTCACCTCCATTTATATCTGTCAAATTTTTAATGATCTTTTAAAAATCTGTTATATTTATTATTTGGGTTATACATATTTTAAATAAGATAAAATAAAACATGCTCATTTTAAAAATCATACTTTTACATGTGCATTTTCCTAAATAAATTGTTTAAATACTTCACATGTGTTTTTGTATTTGTCTTGTGTTATACTAGACCCACTTTAAAAATTAATTTTAAATTGTTTTACAAAATAATCACCTCAACTTAAGTCAATGGGGAAAATGTTCTATAGTGAACAGCATTGGAAGGCAGAAACATCTCCTTCCAGATCAGAGGGAAGAATTATTCACTATGCAACACATGATTAAGATAATATCTCACTCTGTGGCAGGCTTATTGTCCATTATAAAATATTTGGGTTCCCTACATTAGAGGTTCCTCTCCTGTAACACAATTTCCCTATGTAATTTGTGTGTGATGTGACTATTGAACATTTTATCCCAAGCCATAAGCATCCATTCATATATCATAAAGACTATTGCTTTTGCTCATTTTTCCTGTAGGTATATATCATGAGCTTCACAACATAGCCACTTAGCATCTGTAATTATAAGATAAGATCTCCAGGAACAATTATTAATTCTCAATATTAGTTTGTAAACACATTTT